ACTGAGGGTTCTAGCGGGGAGGGGGTGGGGGGATGGGTTAGCCTGGTGATGGGTATTAAAGAGGGCACGTATTGAATGGAGCACTGGGTGTTATAGGCAAACAATGAATTATGGAACACTACATCAAAAACTAATAATGTAATGTATGGTGATTGATATAATAAAATAAAAAAATAAATAAAATAAAATACACTATAATACTGTAATCAAAACTCATCATAGATTTCCATATTCCACATAGAATATGTTGACAATTTTGACCTAATTATTTTCTTACACTGTAATTTAACTGATTCTTTCTAACAAAGACAATAAAAAAATTCAATAGCTCCTTTTACATATGTATTTTTTATAATTTACTAAATGACAAGTTTAAAATTTAATAATCCATCTATTATCACTAACCTTTCATTCAGTTACCATTAGGTAAGACACCAAGCATTTGGGAAAATGTCAAATCTGTGTCTTCAAAGAGAATCAGACAAAAAGCATTCAGGTAGAAAATGAACATAAATTATTACGGACCCCTCTACAAATAAGATCCCAATGAATTTAAATAGGATTTGCCTTAAAATTTAACACACTCGTTTAAAGACAGAGCAAAAAGTCTTACAGAAATATGTAGTCTTGGCAACCAAAGGAAAGCAGAGGTCAGAAGCCTGGAGAAGTGCTGAAGAAATCTGAGTGTTTTCTCTTTGTCCCCCAACATTATCATGAACAAAGAAGATACAAACCAGTCATGGCCAGCATAAGTCCCCTGCAGGCAGACTGAAAACCACAGTTAAGGAACTTTTGCAATATTTTATCTTAGAAGATGAAATATAAGAACTCCATTAATCCTCATTTCCAGGATCCTGATCAGGAAAGAGATATTGATACCTAGTCCTCATTTTATCTTCAACCAATTTACAAGCTAAATTGCTGTTTACTTACATAAGTAAAGGAGGGCAATGGAACTAGTAAATGCAGAAAAAACTATCTGCTTTGTGGCAACATTTATTCAAGTGATTAAAATCATAGTACCACTTCTTTCTCTGGTTTAGGTTACCTGCTAAATTACTAACATAATCAAATATTTAAAAATCCATACATTTTTAGAATTCAGTAATGCAAGTGGTCCGTATGCTTTTTTCCCTTCAAGTCAAACCTATTTCTGAAAAATAACCAATTCAAGTAAAATAAGTATATTTTCTATTGTTATTCTAGATTTACTAACTCTAGAATATTCTTATTCTAGATATACTAAACCTATTTTTAAAAATTTCTTATATGTATCTGAAAATATAGCCTAATAACTTTAATTACTCAGTTAAAGATTCAATAAGTAAGACTGAATTTAGTAATTACTACACAATTTAATAAAATTCATATTTAAAATACAGAATACTATAAAGTACATCATAACGAATCAGCAATATAGGTTAAAGTATTATTTTATTATACATGTGTTAAGGTACCCTATCAAAGAACTATGAAAAACACATAATGTTCAATTACTGTGAATCCACTCAAAAAGGATACGAAAAGCAGATTTTATGGAAGCTTGCTGCTGTTTCAGGAATTTCTCACAGTGCTTTAAAACCAAGGTAAGATCATTTTCTGCACTGTCTTTTAACAGGCTGAGAAACTTGCCATATCTACATTAGAAGCCCACAAAACATACAAAATGAAAAACATCAGGCTCTGCATTGCAAATTCACTTTTTTAAAATCCATCAAGCATAGTCCTCTTGAGATCCCAAGGTTTTAAGTTTTCTTTTACTTCTAGAACAACTATGCTACACAGAACACTTATAGGGAGAGCTTAACACTCAAATATGTTCCTGATAATTATATCTGGATTAGCAGTAGTTATCTGGTAAATACTGACAAATTTAAAGGAAAATAAAACAGTAATGAGAGAACAAAATGTAGATACTGTAGATAAGAAGAATACAAGCATTTTTTCCTGAACTTAATCTAAAACATGCCATGTTGACAAGTTAGACTGACTGTTAAGTCTAGAAGCAATTTTAGATTTCATCTAGTCCAAAGGTTTTGAGAGGGAGCACTTCACCTGTTGGGGCCACTTGGGAAATTCATGGGGGCATTTTTGACTGCATAGTGACTGGGGGCACTAACGGCAGCTGGTGAGTGATGGTCAGGAGGTTAGATGTGGGACAGTCCTGCACAACCCCCTGCAAATGGCCTGCCTGTTATTTGCATGGGTGAAGAAGCTATTCATAATAATTTGAAACCAATTCTGTTTTATATAAGATCATATTTTTTTCTATATTTTTTTATGACACACTGAATGCAACTATGTGTAAATCAGGGAAAGACAGTACTTTCATTGTTTGAAGCCTAAGACTTGTTTTCCATTTTGGAAAGTCACTTTGCCAGTGGCAAAACTCGAGCAGTATTTGAAGCACCAAGACACAATCAGTCTCTATTTGCAGCTGCCAAGGTCACAATGATTCTATATGGTTGACAGCTATGTCATATACTGTAGTTGGGCACAAACATTTCATTACAAATCACTTTCCATTTACTTTTTACCAATAAGACATTATATTGAATTTTAAAAATATGTGACTAGCTTGCTCATGTTATCTATGGATTCCATTTCAGAATAGAAATTGGACATTACAAAATAAAAAGCAGATATAGGGTCACTAAACAATGAGTGACATGCTTTATGCGATACAGATGGATTAGCCAGAATTACTATCACACTTTTCATTATAATGCTATGAATTTATAAAAATAGTCATTTTAAAAGCTTCCATATGCATCTTTTTTATAATTGATTCTAAAGATTACCCACTGAAGTAGGATGGAACTGTTAAGATCCCCATTTAATAAGCAAGAGAGGAGACTCACTCCTTAATTCACAGTCTGCTGTTTAGCTTATGTCTTTTGAAAATTACAATTTGAGTACTAAAAATTCAAACTACTATAATTGGTTTATTCATTTTTAACTTCAGTGTCTATCCTTAAGGTACTTTTGTACTCATCACCATAGTTTGACAATTAAAATCTATTATATTTTAGAAAATGGCATGATTGTGCTACCAATGTGCTGATTTTTACAATGCATTTTTTTTTTTTGGAAAAAACCTGTAGTCATAGAGACTTAAATGCACTGTAATTAGCCTCTGAAATGATAATGAACCATAACTGATTTACCAGCAGAGGTAATTAATCATGTGCCAATATCCCCAAAACAAAGTTATTATTTTCTGAATGATAAACTCTGCATTTAAAGTACACAAAATAGTCGGTTGTTAAATACTATTAAGCACATATCAGGAAGATAAAACAAATTCTAGAAATGCACAAGGGAGATATTTCCCTATAATATACCTGACAGTCATTTTAATGCCAAGCTGCTGCACAGATGAAAGACTTTCATTCTTCACATTTGCATCAGTAGCTAAAAACAACAAAAAACTGGGTTATAAAAATGTATAAAGTCTGCATAATAATAATCACATTTTAATTGAAAATTGATGAAAGTAATATTTTTACATATTTTAATGTGAATTTTGAAAACACTGATGAATTTGTTCTTTTAAGAGCTGTCAGTTATATTTTCAAAGAAATTAACAGGAAACTTTTTACAAATAACTTTTCTCCTATAAAAATCATTTAAAAGCATATTAAGTACAAAACAACTAATTGTAGTTTTAAAGCAATCTATTTTTACTTGGGTCCCAGAACACAAAAGCTATTAACCTCAAAATGATCTAGAACATTGTAGTTTCATCAAGCAATGCATATATAAGACTTCAAATTACAAATATATATAAGTATGGTTGTTCACTTCTTAAAGATTTAAACATGAGTGTCAAGAGGGAATAATCAGTATACTGCTTATAATGTATAACAATATATGAGGGTGGAGTCAACAAGGTTCTTCCAGCAGGAGGATTTTCTTTGTGGAGTAGGAGTTGTGATCTACCAAAAATGAAGAGGTTATATGGTATAGAGGACAACAGGAGTGGTTGAAAATTTGGATTAGGTCTGGAGAACAAGGATGACGCAGCTAACGGTGAATGCTCAATAGCATCATTAGATAGCACTGAGGGTTCTAGTTGCAACTTTCAATTTTGGGTAAAGAAACTGTAGCGTGCATGTGCATATACACACATACACACACACATACACACACACACAATATTAAGGGAACTGTCCAAAATCACATATCTAGTGGTAACAAGGACTAAAAGCTGGGTTTCTCATACTCATGTCAGTAGTTTTTTTTTTTTTTTTTTTTTACCTTCTATTACACACTGCTGCATCTCATCCTATCAGTATGATCTACTTAACTTGTGGACTCATTCATTCCTTTTAATACACGCTTTCTGATAAAATAAGTGTGGAGCACCATGCTAGAAGCTATGGGGAATAAAAGATAAATTATACATCATGCCCTAAAAGAACTTTCCATGTAGTGCCAGAGATAAAATTCGTATATAGATAACTCTGATAAAGATGTTTTAAAGGACTAAGTGGAACAAGAATGGTACAGATAAAGTGTTATGTGAAATCAGAAAGAGAGAGATTACAAAGAAGTGGCACTTAAATTGAACCTTAAAATATAGCTACACTTAAGATCTACAGAGATAAGGAAGAACAACAAATTAAATAATCACTATTATCAAACATCTACTCATTGGACCAGCAATAATTCATCTTTTAGCACTCTTAGAGGTAAGGTACCCTGTTTCTCCTAGTCTCATGCTCCAGGAAGCCCTCATAATTCCAGCCAAACCAGACTGGTCTTTTACCTACCTAGACTGGTAATTGTCTTTAAAAATAAATTAATTAATTAAAATAAAATGAAATAAACTTAAGTGCTCAGTTAATTTCTTGACAAGCTATATCTCAGTTTTACTTATTCAAACCAGAACACAAACTTAGCAGTATTGTTAGAGTTGGCCTATAATGAGCAGTGATTTTTTATATATCTTAGAATTCCTCCCTATTTATAAATCTAACTGTACTAATAGATTTACATTCTAGATGTAGAGATTGCTAAGGACAGCTTTGCCCCATTTATATGAGCCAGTATCTTTCTCCTAGACAAAAAAAAAAAAAAAAGACTTACCATTACTTTATACCAAAAACATACATGTCACAAATTATTCTCTCACAAAATGGCCAATTTTTAAAACTATTAATCATCATTCATATGTTCACCATAATGTCAAGTTCTTAGTCTTATCAACAGCATTTTTAAAAAGTCAGCCGTAGTTTAAATAGCTTTACCAATGTCCACTACAACACAATCAGATTAAATTCATTTGGGTAGTGACCAGGAAGTTCTTTCTGTGTCAGTACCTGAATACAATTATGGTGATCCTATATGTTATTATTAATTGTATTTTAGTTTCCCAAGTTTAAATAATGTAAGATTTCAGTGCTGCAGTGTTGGTTATACTGGCTGAGTTTGCAAAATTTAAGTAGTTTCAATAAAATATTTTGGCTTTATATATTTCTATAGCCATGAAATAGACCTACCTCCTAGCAACTATCATAACAGGGTATTATAAGATTGATTTTTTAATTAGTAATATCATATTTTATTGAGGTATACCTTACATTCAAAGAAATATAAAGATCTTAAATGTACAGCTTAATTAATTTTGACAAATGCATACAAGCTGTATAACCCAGACCACTCTAAGATATGGAATATTTCCATCATCTAAAAGTTCCCTCATGCTCTCTTCTAGCCAATTCCTGCACATCCTTCTTCCCTAAACCAGCCACTGTTCTGATCTCTTTCAGTTAGTTTAGTTTTACCTAGAACATCATATAAATGGAATCACACGATATGTATCTTTTGTGTTTTTTATTTCACTTAACACAATGTTTTGAGATTCATTCCATGTTCTGGCATGTATCAATAGTGCTTCTTTATTACGAGTAGTATTCCATTATGTAAATATGTTGAAATTTGTTTATTCAACATATATCCTTAAATTCATTTTTTTGGGACATTTGTGTTTCTTTTTTTCAGATTTTGACTTTCATGAATAAAGAGCTCTGAACATTCCTGGGCAAATATCAAAGGTGAGCTATTACCTTACACCTGTCAGAATGGCTAAAATAAAAAAGATAAGAAGTTAACAAGTGTTAGTGAAAATGTGGAGGAAAAGGAACCCTTGTACACTGTTGGTGGGAATGTAAACTGGTACATCTACTGTGGAAAACAGTATGGAGATTCCTAAAAAAATTAAAAATAGAAATACCATATGATCCACTAATTCCACTATTAGGTATTTACCCAAAGAAAATGAAAACAAACACTAATTCAGAAAGATACATAAACCCCTATGTTTATTGTAGCATTATTTACAGTAGCCAAGATATGGAAGCAATCTAAGTGTCCATCCGCAGATGAATGGATAAGGAAGATGTGGTGTGTGTGTGTGTGTGTATGCATGTGCATGCATGCACACACACACGAGTATTATACAGCCATAAAAAAGGATGGGGTAATGCCATTTGTAACAACATGGATGGACCTAGAGGGTATTATGCTAAGTGAAATAGGTCAGACTGAGAAAGACAAATACCATATTATTCCACTCATATATGGGGAAAAAAAAGAACAAACAAAAAGCAGAATCAGACCTATAAATACAGAGAACAAACCAGTGGTTGCCAAAGGAGAGTGGGGTGGAGGGTTAGGCAAAATGGGTGAAGAGGTTTCAGTTATGGAATGCATAAGTCATGGGGATAAAAGCCACAGTATAAGGATTATAGTCATTGATATTGTAATAGCAACACATGGGGACAGATAGCAGCTACACTTGTAGTGAACACAGCATACTGTATAAACTTATTGAATCACTATGTTGCACACCTGAAATTAAAATAACATTGTGTGTCAACTATACTCAAAAACAAAACAAAACAAAAAACAGTAAAGTTCTTCAGGCTGAAGAGAAATGATACCAGATGAGTACACAGATACATACACACACAACACACATAACACCTGTACAAGAGTATAAGAAATTGTAAATGTATGGGTAAATATAAAATTACTTTGCTCTTGTTTCTTAATTTACTTAAAATAATTGACTCAAAGGGAAAACAACATGTAAAAGTAAAATGCATAGAAAAAATAGCACACAGGAAGTACAAATGGAAATAAACTTTTGTAAGGTTCTTACATGAAAGACATGGTAATTCATAGTAGACAAAAATATCAAAATCACAGATAAAATTTTAAAACATCAGTAATCATGTAAATGGGCTAAAAACACCAATCAATGGCAGAAATTCTCAGACTGAATTAAAAACAGAAAGCAAGATGCAACCATATGCTATATATATTTAGATGCCCTTTAAATTAAAAAACATGATATATTAAAGTTGGGAAGACACACCAACACTACTTATAAGAAAGCTGAATGTCTATATTATTATCTGACAAAATACACTCCAGGGTAAGGAGTATTATAGATAAAAGACTTTTTTTTTTACATGATAGCATGGTCAATTCATCAAGAAGAAAAAGCAATACTAAATATATATTTACCAAATTGGAAAACTTCGCAATATATGAAGCAAAAACTAAAGAATTAAAGGGACAAGTAGATGAATATAAAATAATAAAGGGAGTTCAACACTACTGTATCAGTATTTGGTACCAAAAGCACACAAAAATTTAGAAATTATCTAGAAAATCTGAATAGCAGGATCAACTAAATTGCCCTTATTGGTTATTTATAGAACACTACAACCATCAACTCTAAAATATATACCATTTTCACTTGTCAATGGAATATTTACTAAGAACATTTATTAGGCCATAAAAAGTTTCAAAAAAATTGAAAGAAATTAAATTATACAGAGAATAATCTATAAACACAATAGAATTAAAATAGAAACCAGTAACAAAAAGATATCTGGAAAATCTCCAAATACTTGAAAGTTAAGCAACACACTGCAAATTAATCAAGGTCAAAGCAAGCTAGCAAGCTAAATTAGAAAATATTTTTAATGAAATGATAATTAAGACATTTCTGAACATGCTTTGGAGGCAACTAAAGCATTGCTTAGGGGAAACTTTATAACTCTATATACTTATATTAGAAAAGAATAAAGGTTTAAAGTCAATGATGTAAGCTTCCATCACAGAGGGTAGAAAAAGAAGAGGAAATTAAACCTAAAGTCAGCAGAAAAAAGAAATAAAATATAACAGAAACCAAAAAATACAAAATAAAGAAGCACAGAGGATATCAATAAACCCAAATGGTGGTTCTTTGAAAAGACCAATTATATCAACAAATCTCTACCTGGCTTATAAAGAAAAAAGAGAAAGAGAAAACACAAGTTATCAGTATCAAGAATAAAAGAGGAAATATCACCATAGATCCAACAGACCCAAGAAGAAATAAAAATCCGAAGAGTTTT